GTTCTAGCATAGAGGCAGTAGTTTAAAAGGTGTTTATGTAAGACACACTTGATTTTGCAGAGCTTCCCAGAAAGGCAGGAGGCAGTTGGGATGCCTCTGGAGACTGAGGTGCTGGTGGCAGCAATTTGCGGAATCTTTTTCTACTGCATTGACATCAGTGCTGGCAAGTTCCACTTTGGAATCCTCCCTTTAGCCTATTAGCACTATCCAAAGCACCAGCAGGCAACAGCAGCCATGCAGGGAGTCAGGCAGGCCCACTAATGAAGCCGTTAAACAAAATGAAAATAAGCAACATTCCCAATAAAGAGTTCAAAATAATGATCATAAAGATGCTCAACAATCTGAAGAAAAGAACAGATCAACACAGTGAGAATGTCAACAAAAGTTAGGGGCGGAAAGGAAACAATGAGAAGAAAAGAACACAAAACTAAAATAAAAATACACTAAAGGGAATCAAAGGTAGATCAAATGATACAAAAGAATGGATCAGCAATCTGGAAGACACAGTAGTGGAAATCAGTGAAGCTGAACAGGAAAAAGGAAAAAAATGTTAAATAAAGATATTTTAAGAGGCCTCTAGGACAACATCAAACATACTAATATTTGCATTATAGGGGTCAAAGAAGGATAATAGAGAGAAAGAAGTAGAGAACATAACTGAAAAAAATAATAGCTGAAAACTTCCATATCCTGAGAAGGAAATAGACATCCAGGTCCAGGAAGCACAGAGAATCCCAAACAAGATTAACCCAAAGAAGCCCACACCAAGACACATTACAATAAAAATAGCAAAAATTATAACTAGAGAGAGACTCTTAAAAGCAAAAGAAAAGCAACTAGTTATACAAAAGATAACTCCCATTAGACTGTCAGCTGACTTTCAGCAGAAACTCTGCAGGCCAGGAGAGAGTGGCATGATCTATTCAAAGTGGTGAAAAGAAAAAAACCTACAACTAAGAATACTCTACCCAGCTATTGGTACGAAAACAGACATATGGATCAATGGAACAGAACAGACAGCCCAGAAATGAACCCACAAACTTTTGGTCAACTAATCTTTGACAAAGGAGGCAAGAACATACAATGGAATAAAGACAGTCTCTTCAGCAAATGGTGTTGGGAAAACTGGACAGTAGCATGTAGATCAATGAAGCTAGAATACTCCCTGACACCATACACAAAAGTAAACTCAAAATGGATTAAAGACTTAAACATAAGACAAAACACAATAAAACTCCTAAAGAAAATATAGGCAAAACATTATCTCACATACATCTGAGCAGTATTCTCCCAGGGCAGTCTATCCAAGAAATAGAAATAAAAGCAAAAATAAACAAATGGGACCTAATTAAACTTATCGATAAATGGATCAATAGAACAAGAAGATGTAACACTTGTAAATATATATGCACCCAACACAGGAGTCTCTAAATACATAAGGCAAATTTTAACTGACATAAAGGGGAAAATGACAGTAATACAATAATAGTAGGAGACTTTAAAACTCCACTTACATCAATGGATAGATCATCCAGGTAGAAAATCAATAAGGAAATATAGGCCTTAAACAACACATTAAATAAGATTGTCTTAAGAAGTATATGAAGAACACTCCATTCAAATATAGCAGAATACACATTTTTTTCAAGTGCCCAAGAAACATTCTTGAGGATAGATCACATGCTATGCCACAAAAGAAGTCTCATCAAATTTAAGAAAACTGAAATTATATCAAACATCTTTTTCCAGCCATAACAGAACAATACTACAAAATAACTACAAAAGAAAAACTAGGAGAAACATAAACATGTTGTCTAAACGATATTTTACTAAACAACCAACAGCTCACTGAAGAAATCAGAAGAAATTTTTAAAATATCTTAAGACAACTGAAAATGGAAACACAACATTCCAAACCTGAAATGTAGCAAAAGGAGTTCTAAGAGAGAGGTCTATAGCAAAACAGGCCTACCTAAGAAAATAAGAAAAATCTCAAATAAACAATCTAAACTTACACCTACAGGAACTAGAAAAAGAAGTACAAATAAAACTCAAAGTATGTAGAAGGAAAAAAATCATAACCTCAGAGCAGAAATAAATGAAATACAAACTAAAAAACAATGGAAAAGATCAATGAAACTAAGGGCTGAGTTTTTTTGAAAAGATAAAATTGATCATCTCTAGCCAAACTCATCAAGAAAAAAAAAAGAAAGCCCAAATAAATAAAATCAGTAATGAAGGAAGTTATAATAACATCACAGATATAAAAAGTATCATAAGAGAAGACTACAAACAATTATATGCTAACAATTTGGATAACATAGGAAAATGGATAAATTCCTAGAAATGTAAAATCTTCCAAGACTGAATCAGGAAGAAATAGAAAAAATATAAAGAGACCAATTACTAGATCTGAATTTAATTCAGTAATCAAAAAACACCCAAGAATCAAAATTCCAGGACCATGCAGGTGAATTCCACCAAACGTTTAAAGAAAATTCAGCACCTCTTCTTCTCAAGTTACTCCAAAGAACTGAAGGAATCCTCCCTAAATCATTCTATAAAGTCAGCATCACACTGATACCAAAACCCTCAAAAAATATTAGCAAACTAAACCCAACAATGCATTGAAAGGATCATGCACAACAATCAAGTGAAATTTATACCAGGAACGCAAGGATAGTTGAATATCCACAAATCAGTCAATGGGATATTCCAATTAACAAAGAATCAATATCATAGGATCATCTCAATAGACACAGAAAACACTTTTAACAATACTCAATGTCCACTTATTTAAAAAAAAAAAACAAACTCCACCAGCTGGGCACAGAGGAACATACCTCAGTATAATAAAGGCCATATATGACAAATCCACAGTCAACATCATTCTCAGTGGTGAAAAGCTGAAAGTGTTTCCTCTGAGATCAGGAACAAGACAAAGATGCTCACTCTCACCACTTTTATTCAACATAGTATTGAAACTTCAGACCACAGCAATCAGACAAGAAAAAGAAATAAAAGGCATCCAAGTAGGAAAGGAAGACATGAAACTGTCATCGTATGCTAACTGCATTCCACTATACACATACAATGCTAAAGACTCCAGCAACAGACTGTTTGAACTATTAAATAAATAAAATAAGTTGCAGTATTAATATACAGAAATCTGCTGCACTTCTGTACACTAATAAGGAACTATCACAAAGAGAAATTAAGAACACAATTCCCTTTACAACTGAATCATAAAGAATAATGTACTAGGAATAATTCTAACCAAAGAGATGAAAGACCTGCACTCTGAAAACTATAAAACACTGGTGAAAGAAATTGAAGATAACACAAACAAATAGAAAGACATATCAATCACATGGGTTGGAAGAATTAATATTGTTAAAATGTCCATACTAAGCAAGGCAATCTACAGATTCAATGCAATCCCTATTAAAATACTAATGGAATATTTCACAGGACCAGAACAAATAATCCCAAAATGTATATGGAACCACAAAAGACCCAAAAAAGCCAAAACAATCTTAAGAAAGAAGAACAAAGCTAGAGGTATCATGCTCCCTGATTTCAAACTATACTATGAAGCTACAGTGATCAAAATGGTATGGTACTGGCACAAAAACACACATAGATCAATGGAACAGAATACAGCTGACCTTTGAACAATGTCGGTTTGAACCGTTTGGGTCTACTTATGTGCATATTTTTTCAATTATAAATAGTACAGTACTATACAATCTTGTATTGGTTGAATCTATGGATGTGGAACTACAGATACAGAGGCAACAAGTTTCAGAGGGCTGATTATAATTTATAAACAAATTTTTGACTGTGTGGAGGGTCAGTGCCCCTCAGTCCCACATTGGTCAGGCATCAACTGTGGTCAGCCCAAAAAATAACCCATGCTGATGTAGTCCATTAATATATAACAAAGGAGGAAAGAATACACAATAAAAAAAGAAAGTCCTTTCAATAAACAGTGTTGAGAAAACTGGACAGCTACATACAAAAGAATGAATCTAGATCCAATTCTTGTAGTATATACAAAAATAAACTCAAAACAGATTTAAGACTTAAATGTAAGAAATGAAACTTCTAGAAGGAAACACAGGTAGTATGCTCTTAGCAATATATTTTTTTGGATCTGTCTCTCCAGGAAAAGGGAAACAAAAGCAAAAATAAATAAATGGGACCACATCAAAATAAAGCTTTTGCACAGTGAAAGAAGCCATCAACAATCAAAAAGGCAACCTATTAGGTGGGAGAAGATATTTGCATATAACATATCTGATAAGGAGTTAATATCCAAAATATATGAAGAACTCATACCACTCAATATTAAAAAATCCAATTTAAAAATGGGCAGAGGACTTCAACAGGTATTTTTCCAAAGAGTACATATAGACATCACTAATCATCAGGGAAATAAAAATCAAAGCCATAATGAGATATCACCTCACAGCTGCTGGAATAGCTATCACCAAAAAAACAACAAATAACAAGTATCAGTAAGGAAATGGAGAAAAAAGAATGCTTGTGTACTGTTGGTGAAACTGTAAACTGGTATAGCCACAGTATGGACTCAAAAAATTTAAAATAAAACTACCTTACAATCCAGCAATTTTACTTCTGGTTATTTATCAAAGAAAACAAAAACAAAAAATTTTAAATATATATAACTCTCTATGTTCACTGCAGCATTATTTGTAACAGCCAAGATATGGAAGCAATCTAAATGACAGATGAATGTATAAAGAAAATGTGATATTTATATATATAATGGAATATTAGCCATAAAAATGAATGAAAACTTGCCATTGCAAAAATAGGGATGAATCTAGAGGGTATTATGCTAAGTGAAGTCAGACAAAGAAAAACAAATATCATATGAGCTCACTTACATGCAGAACCTAAAAAAAACTATGAAACAAAACAAAAACACTCATAGATACAGAGAACAAATGGCTGGTTGCCAGACAGGAGGGGGTGGGGGATGGAAAAATAGGTAAAAGGAATTAAGAAGTATAAACTTCCAGTTAGAAAGTAAATAAGTAACAGGGAAGTATTATACAGCATAAACAGTATTGTCAATAGTACTACAACAATATTGTCAATAGTACATAACTTTGTATGCGAACATATGATTACTAGAATTATCATGGTGATCACTTCATAATGTATTTAAATGTCAAATCACTATGCTGTATATCTAAAACTAACATAATATTACATATCAGCTATATTTCAATAAAAAATAAATAAAACTCTAATTCAAAAATAAATAAACAGAGAAATAGATAAATTTTTTTAAATGAGAGAAAAGTCAGTGTGAAAGTGACGTGGAGAAGAAGCAGCAATATGCTATTTCTACTACAGACATGTTCTTGCCAGATCAATTTTAGAAAAGAGACACATGGAAGTTCGGGGCCTGGCCGAAACTACCTTAAAATTATATATACATGTGTACCTCCTGCAAAGTCACTGTATATCATCAGGGGTGTGCCTACCTTATTTAAAATAGCTTTCCTAGAATATAAACTCTGTGAATCCAGGACTTGGTATGGTTTTGTTCATTTCTTGTGTTAAGGAGAAAGGAGACTTAGTTTGGTTACTGGTTCCCCAGGTCTTTCCTGTGCATCAACCCCCCTCTCCTCATATCTCTCCCTGCCCGCGTATCAATCCCACCACACAGCTCCCCTCTCCAGCTTCCAGGAATTGCTCTCCACCCTTGCCCCTTCAAGCCTAAATGTGGTAATGGCACAAGTATTGCTAGTCCTGATGTCATTTGTTCATTTTTGTAAATCCAACCAACATCTTTCATAATTTGAATGTGCCAGACGTTTTCTGTCAAGATCTTGCAAATATTCAATAAATATTTGTTGAGGGAATACATGAATCCCCACCTCTTTCAAACCACCATCTTCTTACCTTTGCTACCACTAGAGCTTCTTAACTGATTTCTCTGAATCTGCTCTTGCTCCTTCCATCCATTTTCCACAAACTAAGCTAAAGAGATCTATTTAAAATGCAAATCTGATCTTGTCATTACCTAAAACATTACAGTGGCTTCCTACTGCATTTTAACGCAAAACCTAAAATTATTTAAATGAATCATATACCCATTCACAATCAGTCCTGTGCGTCATTCAGACTCAATGCTCCCTACCTTCCATGCACTCTTTCTTCACCACAGTGAATGCCTCCATCTCAGAAATGCCCCATGCTCTTTTTCCTCTGGGTCTTAAAATATGCTATTCCTTTCACTCAGAACACCCTTCCTTTACTTTTTCAGCTAGATAGTGTGAATGAAAAATATTGCCAACCATATCAGTAAACAAAGAATGCTGTGGCCATCAAGTCATCAGCCACTACTGCCACCTACGTCCCACAGTGAGCAGAGGGAACTCAAGATGCAGAGAAGCAGGCTGCCTGACCTCTGCAGCTACCCCCAACTGTGCACTTGAGGGAACTCAGGGTGCAGAAGAACAGGATACTGGCCCTAGATAGATACATGCATATCAAATGAATGATTTCATTGAGCCCAGACCTTTGCACCTTCCCATATACAGAAAAGTGCTAAATTCCGTAACTTGAGATATTTGATTTTCTTTAATTAAGAGTAACATTTTTATGTTCTGACTACCTGGTCTTCATTGCAAAAAAACTCCTATATATCCTGGCTTCTCCCTTGCCTGAGTCCAACAGTCTCTTAGAGCAATCTGAGGCTATGTCCCAGGCTCAAATCTTCAGGAAGTCTGCCGAATAAAATGCAACTCTCATCTCCTAGGTTGTGCATTTTATTTCAGTTGACACAGGCTCCTGGTATCTTTCAGGTCCCAGCTTATACAAACATCCTCCCTGACCCACCAAGCTAGTTTGAATTTCTACTATTATAGATTACCACAAAAACCCATAGTGTCCCTTTGTAAACATGTAAACACACTTCTACGTGTTCGTTTGATATTTAACTCCTCAGCAGATTATATACCTTCTAAGGACATCTACTATCCTTGAAAGGTTAACCAGTGAGTCCCTAGAGCCTAGGCCAGTGCTTGGTACATAGTAAGTTTCAAGACATACTAACTGAATAAGAAAAGAAACTGAGGGTCGGAATGGAAGTACTGACTTGATACTCATTACAGAGCTACACTGGAATTCAAATGTTGTTCTTCTTTTTCCAAGAGTAGAAATCTCTTCACTTTTTTCACAGAGGCCCTCCTCAGCTTCCTCACCTGCAGAATAAATCAAGTGTTCTTAAGCTGAAGGCCACAGACACCCAAGGGATCAATGAATAAAATTAAGGGGGTCCATGAACTTGGATGGGGGAAAAAATGCCTTTATTTTCACTGAACTATTACTGAAATGTAGCAATTTTTTTCAAACTTGTATGTAGGCAGAAAACCCCAGTAGTATTAGTAGAAAATACAGATATTTTCATATCACATTACAAGTGTTGTAAACACCTCAAAATATCATGTATATTCATCACTACTTTGAAAATTATGATACTTATTAAACCTACCACTAGATTTTCTTATTTAATGTATTAGTGATACTGAACAGGACCCTGTGCTCCTACCCAACCCCTGCCTCTTATTTATAGAAAAGCTGGAGTCTCCCAAGCCTCTCTAAGTCATAGAGGAGCAGGCTCAGGCAGTTGTTTAGGACAAGCCTGCAAGCCTTGGGGGACGGCAACAACTCTGACCACCCATCTCCACGATTAACTGAGATTACTTTCCTATTTCCCTTTAAAACTTTCATGGCTGAACAAAATCTTTAGAGACAGTTTTTCATTTGGGGGGGTGTCTGTTTTGTTTTTTAGAGGGGTGGGGGATGCTGGATCCACTAGATTGCAGGCATTCTGGTTAAAACTGCTCAACTGATAAAAAGGCAGGACATTTCTCCTACCCCATAGCTGGCTCCTTAAAACCCAGGGACATACCTCAGTATATCTTCCTTTGTTCTCAGAGGGAGGAAGGAGCCTGTAGCAGAAAATTATTAACACCACCACTGAAATGAAGATAACAACGGCAGAGTTTTCTAACAAAAGACCCCGCAGCCGGATGGAGAGCTGGAGCTGTCTCTATCAGCCATCCTGGCTGACAGGTCCCCGCTCCAGTGCTTCCTTTCCCAGCTCGACTGCCTTTCTTTCCTTCTCTCTCCTCAAGCATTTTCCTTCCATTTCCCCTTCTGAGCAATAAAGCAGCTATTTACTTCATCCTTCTGCCTCTGCTGTGTGAATTTTTTTGAGATAGGAGGGAAGGGGGCAGGGCACAGCCATTAAAGGAATGACACAGTGATTAGCACAAAGATGGTTGGAAAATTCAACTCCCAGTAGATCTTGAGGCCCAAGATGGCAGGAGATTGACTTCCAGTAGACCTGGAGCTTCATTATACGTTCACAGTAATACATCAGCATGGTAAATACTCCCACAGGTGCCATGGCAGTTCCAAGGCTAACCGTGAAAAGTCAAAAAGTGGGCAGTGGCCCAATTCCTGGGAATCCCAGACCCTCCCCAAAGTAGTTGAAATAATCTTTTCACTTGTTAGCATATGAAGTTACTGAGCCTATAAAAACTAGCAACACCGAACCTCATGGCCTTTCTCTTGCCTTCTGAGATGGCCTGCACTCTGTCTATGGAGTGTACATCTCTCTGAATAAATCTGCCTTCACTCAACTATGGATTGCTGTTCAATTCTTTCCTGTGGGGATGCCAAGGACCCTCACTTGGTAGGGCATGTCCCAGGTACTCAACCAAGACCTGGGACACGATCATCGTCTTGCACCCCATTTTCCTGTATCACTTTCACAGTCAGTAGCAAGTACCCACGCTTTGGTGGTCCTCCTAATTTAGGGGTCCCTCTATCTGCTAACATTAGTTTAAAAGCATATATTACAATGTCACCAATTTGGAGCATTTTTAAAATATTTTGATGTGTTTCACTATAATTAATTTCCTTTGTAGTACTTTTTAATTTATTTTACACATTTAAAAACATTTTCAGAAGTATGGGATTCGTCAGTCTTGGTCAAAAGGCACAGAAAGGTTAAAAATCCTTGGACTGCATACTCAGCAAGACTCCTTCCAAACTGATCAAGTTTACACCCATTGTCTCCTCTAATGGGTCAATTGTCCAACTTTTACCTGATTCAAGAGTTTCTAAGATAAGTAGATAGGGAATAAAACAACAAACCAGTTCCCAGTGATGAAGAAATATGTCAGCTAGGGTGAGAGAAAGACCCAAAGCAAAAGCAAGTCAGATGCTTTGAAAACAGTACTGTCAGTGACATGTCTGAGTTCAGGTTTATAAGAAGAAATGGGATAGAGAAATCTTTTTAATAATTCAGACTCAGTACCAAAACGTCACAGAGAAAGGGATGTATTGTGCAGAGGCACAATTAGTGAGGTATTTTGTGCTGATGTGTGATGAAAGGTAGCTAATAAGCAATGTACCTAGTCATATAGTAAATTCTCAACAAATATTTATCAAATGAAAGAGAAAAGGGAGGACAAACAATTGTTCCAAGTAAAGATGATAAAGGTGAAATAATCAAAGGACACAAAACCAAAATAAATACATACATACATACATACATACATACATACATACATACATAATCAAAGTTCTCTTTTTTACAAACTTGTATTGAAAGACTTTAAGGAAAAAAAGCAGAGCACTACGTTGGAGGTAGAGGAGAGGAAGACGAGATAGGATGCATAAATCAGAGGCACTCTCTGACCTTGAAAGACCTTATAATTTCAGCAGCAGGCAGTTTATTTCACTAATAATACAAGGAAATGAAGCAGGGAGGGAAAAGAACACCCATGAAGAGAGTAAGCCAAGTTGGAATTAGCTAATCATTGTTTCCAGAGGGAAATAACACCATAAAGGGTTATACTGATTTCAACCCAAACGCCATGTCCCTCTACAGCCCTGGACCACCTCAACTTTACTTGCATATAGATAAGGAACTTATTTTCCTAAATTCAACTGCTTATAAGGTTCCTTGTTTCTATTTGGGATGTGTTTGATTGTTTTCTTCAATATCCTAATGATTCAAATGTGGCAACTGCATTTTAACTGAGCCCAATATGATCACAATTCCACTTGATACTGAGAGAGGCTATGTCTTTGTCCAGTATGTTTCCCAGAATACTGGATCCAGAGAAGTGTTAAGACCCTGACCTCAGAGTAAAAAACAAAACAAAAAAATTAAAGAATGAGAAAGTCCCTATGATATTTCTGGATATTCAGGATTCTAGGGATCAAACCAAAAGTTGGCGTGGGGTCCAATCAACAATTGTTTCTCACCATCATCAGTAAATCCCTGATTGAATACTTGCTGAGATCCCTGTACTGGCTCCCAGACATTGCTCATGGAGGCATCAGCTAAAATAGGATGCAGTCATTCATAGTAAAGGGAAAATCTTGTTTCTCCATTTACAATGCTTCTGACAGCAAAGCAATTCTCCTATTCTCTGTGGACACCAACTGGGTGTCCTACAATTCAATTCTGATACTGACTGCCTAGTAATAGCACAGACCCCACAGATTAAGGGCTCAGTCCCCTACTTCAGATGCCAATTGCAAGACCCAAGTTGTCACCTGTACTTCCAAACAACTGGCTATAAATACTGATCTGAGTTCATGCTCTTCACTTTATACAAAGATACAACTCAGGAATGGCCAAATGTATGAGATGCATAGGGCAGCGTATGGGGTGCAGAGGTGCCATGCCCTCCCTAGGCATGCTAAACCTCCTAGTACCACCATGTGTTCACCAACCCAGAAGCTCTCCAAACCCTACAATTTAGGGGTTTTAATAAAGGCATGATTGATTAAATCATTAGTTGTTGGTGATTATGTCAATCTCCAAACTCTCCTTTCCCTAGAGGAGGGGGAGTGAGAGGTGCTGAAAACTTCAACCCTCCAATCACTATTCACATGGTTAGCTCCTCTAGTAACTAGCCTCCATCCTCCAAGAGTCACCTTGCTAGCACAAACTCAGGCGTGGCTGAGAGGGACTTATGAATAACAAAAGATGCCCCTTCATCCCTATCACTGAGGAAATTCCAAGGACTTTAGGAACTTTGTGTCAAGAACTGGGACTGAAGATCAAATATGCATTTCTTATTATATCACAACATCACACAGGGGTTCTCTGCAGGTGGGCAGGTCCAACTCCCTTCTCCCAACAGAAGCTATCAAATCTTATGTACAACACTTCTCTACAGACAGGGTTCTTTCTTCTTTAGCTGCTTTCCAAAACATTGCTTGGGATCACTTTCCTCACCTCTGCCAAACAAACTTTAGTCACCACCAACATCTCCTCAGAAGCTCAACCCAGGCTCTTATCAGAGTTACTCCCAGTCCTGACCCACCAAGAACACTCAGATCTGGCTGAGCACCTTCCCTCGGGGCTCAGCTGGACACTCAGAGCCAGTGGGTACCAAGAGTTGGGAGGTAGAAGTAGCCTGCCCCTATACAAGCATAAGGAGGTGAATTGTCTGTAAAAAAAAATTTTAAATAGTAATAAAACTAAATAAAAGTCAGTCTGATTTTTATCACATTGCATGACTATGCTAAATAGTGTTAGTGATACAATAACCCTCAAACAAGAATCTTTTGTTGGTCTAAGTTCTAAACAATTGATATGGTTACTGTTGAGTTATGACAAAATATACATTAGCTTCAAATTATCACTTTTTTCAACAGTTTTTAGTTGTGCCTTTATTCGCCTTAGTTCATTAAAAATGTACTTGTTTTAAAGATCCTTTAAATAGAGTGACCACCTACTAATCTGGGATACAAGTTACCCCTCTGAGCCTGGTATTTTTCTTTAAAAAGCAGAATTTCTTTTAGGAATCTTATTGATCATGCAGTAGTTACAATAATGTCAGACATAATGATGGATACATCTAAACAAGACAGGCTGATTAAGAGTTTGCATAATGTAAAAATATACATATTAAAAGTTAGCCATGTGGACAGATGCATACAATGGGAAGAGTAACTAACTGGGGTGAAGGGCCCATAAGCAGTAATATTGTTTCTCCCTCCATCACAGTAAATAACTTTCACTAACAGATACAGGTATTCCACACACATCTAAATACACAAGGGTAAGCAAATTCAATTTTTAAAACTAATCCACCTTAACATATTTTATTCTACATGCAAGTTAATTTGAAAAACTATCAGTTAACTGTCAGATTCAGCCACATATATTACTTTCCATAGTAAATTCATAAGAATTTCTGACTTCTCAAGCTCACTTCAGGTATATTTTATGATTTTAACCCTTGTGGTAGAACATAGCCCTGCTTTTAAACTGTTCATATAAAATAAACAATGCTAGTTGTTTGTGGTTGTTCTTTTCTGTGGGTTTTGATGATGATGATGATGATGATGACGATGATGATGGTCAATCATACAAAAAAATATCTGCAAATAATTTTGCTAGCCAGAATTAGCCTTGAACTGTGAAGGAAAAGCCGGGCTGGGCTAACAAGATAACTCACAAGTCTAAGAATGTGAAAGAAAAGCTGGGCTGGGCTAACAAGGTAACTCACAAACCTAAGTATGGAATACTGATCTGAGTTCTGCTGTACTAACTTGTAAATCTAAGTTAATTAGTGTTGATTTGCTGTTCATCTTTTTTGCTAGCCAGCTGGGTTTTCAAAGAGATATATCTGGCTTTGGAATGTTGGTTTGCTGCCTCCCCACCTCCACTTTTGTGATAATGATGCTGCTAAAGCTGTTCCATGCCTATTGGCCTTGGCCGAATACCCCAAGCTTGTACTTTACCCTATAAAACCTCATGCTCACATCTTGGAGGTGCTCAGAGCTTCGGAGCAGAAGTCCCTCTGAGCCCGCCGGCGTAATACATCTGAGTACTCCAACTCTCCAAGTGGTGCTTGTTTCTTGGCTGGCCTGTTGTTTCCGTAACAGAACAACATACAGTAAGATACCAAGTTTCTAAATTGATCTTTGAACACCAAACCACTGAAATAGTAGAGAAAGTCATTAACTATGCAACAACAAAAATGTAAAGAAACTGACATAGAAAAAAGAATCAGAGTTTGAATACTGTCAGAAGAGACAAGAGATGACAATCTCATATAGCCAACAAAATTTAAAAACATGATGTTTGATATATGTTTTCACCAAGTGGACATTCCTTCTAAAGTAATGAATCAAATAACACCAGTGTCAATGATCATTTTCCCAAGTTTTTATCAACAGAAATATCAACAGAATTATCTGATGACAATGTTATAGTGAAATGTGTAGATAACTGAAAGCTGCAAGAATTGATCCCAAAGAAACAAGACACGAACTGTACTGTAACTTCTGAAATTTACTGTGAAGTGTGGTTTGTATAAATCTCTGTTAACTTTTCCATGTGTTTAAGACTTTTCTTATTTGCATGTATGTTGCTCCAGACAAAAGAAACTTTTCAAAATTAAAATTAACAATAAGTGTTCTCTGGTCACCTAAGAGGAAGACAGAATGACAAACCTAAATATGGTATCTAAGGGACATGGGTATATGCCTAGGGCTTCGGTAACCAAATGTCACAAACTGCACAGCTTAAAACAAAAGAAATTTGTTTCATAGTTCTGAAGGCTAGAAATCCAAAATCAACCTGTCAGCTAGGTCATGCATTCTCTGAAGGATCTAGGAAAGAATCTGTTCCATATCTTGCTCTTAGCTTCCGATGTTTGCCAAAAATCCTTGGCCATCCTTGGCTTACAACTGGACAACTCTGATCTCTGCCTTCTCAGTCACATGTCGTTCTCCCTGTGTGTCTCTGTCTCTCCACAGGTGTTCTTTTCCTAAGGACACCAGTCATTTTGGATTAGGCGCCCACCCTAGTCCAGTATGATCTCATCTTAATTAATTACACCTGCAAGGCCTCTATCCTCAAAGTCCAGTTGGGTGTGGGGGGTATGTGTGCATGAGGAGGAGGGGGCTTAGCATATCTTTTTTGGAATGGGGGACTACTTAAATCTGGAACAAGGAGCAATTTTGTCTAAGTCATTGCAAATCGACAGACACGAAGGTTCGAAACCAGAAACTATAAGGTTCATGACTTTAACACATAAATACATAGGTACGTTTTTCCCTTTTAAAACAAAAACCAGTGACGTAATTTTAAAGTATTAATCCATTACTTTTCCTCTGAGTAAAGCAATTTTTCGTGAACTGGGATATACTTCAACGAAAGAAAATTCTCACCATCTGCGTTTCTTTTCTGTTCATCATTGTTATTCCACTCATTTCACCATTACTACCGAAAATAATTTTGTTAGAAAAATGACAGGCTCAGGGTGTCACCCCCGCCAGCTGGCCGCGGCTCAGGGCGCGGCAGGGCCTGTGGGAGCGCGACCCCTCAGGCGCCTTTCCCCTCAGGTAGGTACTCACTTTCCGAGCCCGCTGCGGGCAGAGCTTCCCAGCGCCGTCAGGCCACAGGACGACTGACGCAGCAGCAGAGAAAGCCGACGGCCGACTCACCCTACGCCAGGGGGCGCCTGGCTCCCGAGCCGACAGGGAGCGCTCGCCGGGCCTAAAGCCCGCCCCGCTCGCCTCGGCTGGAAGAAGTCGACGCCCCTGCTCCGCCCTCCCCCAGGCTGCCAACGAGGCAGGCTCTGTTACACATGCGCAAACACGTCCACCACGCGCCTACCTACGGCGCATGCGTCCTCTCAGCTCCGCCTCTCCGCTTTGTCTTCCCTGGAGTTTCCAGTTCCGGCCTCGTAGGGGCGGGAGGCAACCGAGAATATGCGGCTGTCGGTCGCCGCCGCCATCTCCCACGGCCGCGTATTCCGCCGCCTGGGCCTTGGTCCCGAGTCCCGCATCCACCTGTTGCAGAACTTGCTTACGGCACTGGTGCGACACGAACGCATCGAGGCGTCATGGGCGCGCGTGGACGAGCTGAGGGGCTACGCCGAGAAGGTGAGGGTCGGAGCCCTCTGGTTCCTTGCACGAGTCTGGCTTGAGGGGGGCGAGATCCGGCCGGCTTGGAGCAAGAATTGGAGCTGTCCTGGTAAGCCGAAGTCTGATTCCCCTGGTACCGTGAGCTGAGCCCACTCCTCCGGCCCTTCAAATGGAAGCCTGATTAGGGCTGTGGAGTTAGAGGTGGCCTGAATTAACGAGATGCTTTCCCAGTGGAATGCATGGGTTGCAGTGAGGCATTAGAGGAGTAGGATTGGCGCCTCCTTTTTTGCTCGGGTTGGATCAGTAATGTTATGTCTTCGCAGCTCATCGACTATGGGAAGCTAGGAGACACCAACGAACGAGCCATGCGCATGGCTGACTTCTGGCTCACGGTGAGTGCATCCTGTCTTCCTCCCAAATCTCATCCTTTGCTCCCTAAGTAGGAGGGGATTGTTAGAGGAAGGGTAACTGGGAAGAATTAAGCTGTAAGGCACTCACTTATGGACACATGTTGTGAACTAAATTAGAAATGTGTCTCCTAAGTTAGCTGAATTCGATATGAATCTGAATCCGCACAACTGCCTGTAACTGAACCCTTCTGCAACCTTGACTCTACCATATCAATGGGTGACAGAGTTGTGTGCGTGCGTGTGTGTGTGTGTGTGTGTGTGTGTGTGTGTGTGTGTACACCCTGCCTTTGGGAGCGCTGAAAGTTAAATGTTTCTGTGGTGATGCCTGACTTCTCTCTCCTGAATAACTCTCCCCCTCTAGGAGAAAGACTTGATCCCAAAGCTGTTTCAAGTATTGGCCCCTCGGTACCAAGGTCAGAATGGGGGCTACACAAGAATGCTGCAGATCCCAAATCGGAGTCAGCAGGATCGGGCCAAAATGGCAGTGATTGAGTATAAAGGGAACTGTCTGCCACCCCTGCCCCTGCCTCGCAGAGACAGCAACCTTACACTCCTAAACCAGCTGCTTCAGGGACTGCAGAAGGACCAGGAAGCAAGCACCCACACAGCTCAAACACAGGGGATTTAACGGGAGCCAAGAGTGAGTGGCCCTCATCAGTGCCCATGATCACAGGCCTTGGGGGCTCTTTTAATCTCTAAGAAGAACTGGAGCAGGAGTTGTAAGATGGACCATCTTGTTGGAGCCCAGAACCTTCTGGGAGACAGATAACCCTCTTTGCATAATAGATAAATTCATTGTATGAGTATATGTAAACTAATTTTTTTTTTTCTTCTCTGAGGATTTCTGGAAAACGAGAACTATCCAAGTATTCAGTCTTGTAGGACAGTAAATCCATGTTGTGTGTTTCTGGCTCTTAAGTCTGGGTTGGGTTGGGTTAGCACAGTTTTGTTTTTCTTAATGCCACATTATATGGGGCATGTATCCTAAAATTCCAAATTGGCCCCCAAAAGTGTTTTGATGTCTACATAGAGACTAAGCCCCTAGGGCTTCTTAGAGAAGGATTACTTCCTAACGGGGGGTGGGAGAGTGAACATCTAGAAGTGAACTTTCTGCAATAATCAGGTACCCTAGAAACCTTCAAGGTTCCATTCCTTTGTTTCTAGGCAGGATCACATATTACCCTCATGTGCTCCCCTCGAGCCCTGAATGGGCCTCAGAGGAGAGGACCTGGAACTCAGATGTACCACCACACTGGCCAGAGGAGTGGAAGCATTCAGCAGAGGATGTTGACTCCAGGATAAGCTCCTTCCTCTTGGGGTGGGCTTGGAGGGGTGAAGGAGAGGCTTGAAGTGGGAGGAAGATTAGGAAGTTAAACCTCTGGGGATTTCCTGGAAGTTTTCATTGTTGGCAAATCTGGGCCTCTCTGGGAACTCAGAAAAGGGAAATCCGGCTTCAGAATGGTCAGGGCATATGAGAAGTAGGAAGCTCCTTTACGTGCACTAGTTACTTTGAAGCCAGACTTGGCCCAGCCAGGCTGCCCATCCCTCACACTCAGAGGCTTGACTAAGGTGGTAGTCATGGGAAGACTTGGAGCTATCATGCCTGCCTGAACACTTGATAGCAGGGCCTGACAGATCCCATAGCTCTAGTACAGTGGGAAAAAGAAATTTATCTTAGGCCAGACCTTCAGAGGGTGTTTGATCCATTATCTCAGATAATAAGAGTTGGGGTGGAGAGAGTCACTGGTCTAGCAGGTAGATACTAGCTTCAGTGACAGAGCTATTCTTGTGCTATTTCAGTGCTATTTTCAGACTGCTCCCCTAGTCTGAGATTAATCTCCCAACAGGGTTCTCATCTCTTACAGCACATATACCAAAATTGGAATGATACAGAAAAGATTAGCATGGTCTCTGTGCAAGGATGACACACAGATTCGTCAAGCGTTCCATATTTTTTAAATGAAAAATTTTTTGAATTACAAAAGGAGTACATGAATCCTATAAAATTTAATAAAGGCTCAGGGATGACACAAGGGAAATAAGAATATAACAGTTTTACTGATCTGGCCTATAAATGGTAGCTTTTTCACCTAAATGGGTGAAACATACCCTTGAGTTCATCTAGGCAAGCATCTCTTTAATAAACTCCAAACACCCAAGAGAGGAGTCCAGATACACTAGAATTCCTCCTTTGAGAAGTTCTCTGTCTTAAGGGGTTGTGCATAGCTCAGTGGTAGAAGGCGTGTTTGGCATGCATGAGGTCCTAGGTTCAATCCCCAAGGCCTCCATTAAGGGGGGAAAAAAGTTCTTTGTCTCAAGTTCCAGTTTTTCACTCCAAGGTTCACAGTTATGCCCACTCCCCTCAAAGGATAACAAACTTAGTCTAGCCTCAACAGATCAGTGACACAGTGTAAGCCCAATATCCAGAGGAGATAACAACTACAAAAGTCAGGGATTGTTTCCTTACACTCATCTACAGTCAAATTAGCAGGTCATATTGATTTTGCTTCTCAAATCTGTAGTCACCTCTCTCCCAGTCTGAAGTCCTAGAGATCTCGACCCTAAATTACTGCAACAGCCTCCTAACTTGCCTCCCTCCACACTGCAGCCATAGTGATAGGAATCTGCTATCTTAATTCTCTGCTTGCTGATCTCCAGTGGCTCTTTTCCTATGGGGAAAGAATCCAGATTCCTTACCATGACTCCCCTCAGTGAGTAGGCATCTGCTCATTGTTCCAGCTTCTTCCTTTGCTTCTAGTTCTATGCTCCAGAACCTTGAAGGGCTTTGTTTTGACTGTTTCCCTATGCACAGCTGCCCTTACCACCTTTTATTCATCTATCACCCAGAGAACCCTCTCCCCTTTACCTACCTGCCTTGTATACAAACTTTCAGCATCTCCGGGGTGATTGCTGTAACCATCTCTACACCTAAGTTCATTACTTTGTAACCCTAGGTGCGGCTACAGTATTTCCATAATACACTGGATTTACCATGGTGTGTTACAATTCCCTGCAGTGGATTGATTCCCAAACATCCACCCCAGATAAGTTTAAGGCAGTCATGGTACTTCCATCCCCTTGCTGTTGGTGGGTTCAGGGGTGGACAGGCCTTAACTAATTTGAGGCCATGAGAATCCATGCTCTACTCTGCTGAGTAAGAGTAAGATTACATGTTATTCTGATAAGCACAGGGAACTGGCTCTAGACTAAAGAGGACACTGAGAGTGGCAGGTCAGAACAACTGAAAGGTACTATATAGTAAGAATCTTTAGTGATTATTCCCATTTATGCCTGGGTTTTCTGTTAATTGCTACCAAAGGTAATATTATTTTCTACTGTTGAATCTTTAGGGTAGTGTTTTCCCCAAATTCTTTTACTATGACCCACAGGTCAAAAAACATTTTACATTGGAACATAACATTGACATAAATAGGTGTAATGAAACAAAAGCAGCACAAAGCATTTACTTGTACAGATATCATGTGCACTAATATTGTCTACTATTTTCTAGTTCAGTTTTTTAAAATGATAGTCCCAATCCAGTAGATTGATTTTACAGCTCACTAATGTTTTACAACCTGCTTTTGAAAAACACTGATCTCAGTCAGCATTACAGATTTGCAGTTGCCTTTGCTGGATAAAATCCTGGCTTCTGTCGTGGCAGAAAGACCTGCTATGGCCTGTTCTCAGCCACCCCTCAGGGTCATCTACAGATATTTGCTACCAGCCTTCGTAGGAAACTAACTTGTTATTCTCTGAATATATCTACCTTTGTGCATGATGTTGCCTCTACTGTAGTGCTTGCCCTGTTTCAAGTTACCTTCTACAGGGTATTCAGATCTCTACTCAGGGTCACTTTTTTGAGGCCTTCTGCAAACTCTGCATCACCCTTCAAATGGGGCTAGGTCCATTCCTGGGTGCGGTGATACTCCTCACGGCATATGCCTGTCAAAGCATTCATCACACCATACTACCAATTACCTGTCTGCTTCACTGACTCCTTCACTGAACTGAGCTCCCAAAACTAGGAACTGGGACTCATTTCCTCTGGATAACTCTTTTCCTACCATGGGACCTGATTCAGTATATGCTCAATATATGTTTATTAAATGAAGAGTAAGCTGCATGTTGTCTACAACAGAGTCAGCTCTGGCTGAGCTTTACAAAACCATCAACATGGTACTCTGCAGGGACAGAGCTACGCTACACTGCAGAGTATACCAAGGCTGAAGAAATGGATTCCTTCCTTTCCAGGGACTTAAGTGTTAATAATGACAGTCAAGAATGTAAGCATATGTCTAATTCATTTCCCACACATTTCATATTTCATTTTCTGAAATATTTCTAATCAACCTGCAGACAGAAAATAGCTCTACATTTTCCAAGATGTAGCCAAAAGCTGGTCTGACACCTCTTCTCTGAAGTATTCACTGAATTCTGCATAAGTTAGAGACTTTTCCAGTGATCCAGTTTCACAGGATACATCTTTCACTGCAGCAGTGGCACAGTTACATTGTTCAACACCCTTCACTAGCTGGTGAATTCCTTGAGGGTAGAGGACATACTAAATAAAACCTTGTGCTGCCCAGTTGAAAACATGAGATGTAATAGGCATCTGTATAGGTCAACTGAATCAATGCATTGCACCAACTTCTTCAGCCTAGCTCTGCATTTTAGGTTTACTAACTCCTCCCTTCCCCAGTTTCCTCTTACTTCATCTGAAAATGAACTTCCTGCAACGCTGATTCCCTATTGTTTGCTACTGGGCAATGTCTGTACCCTTAGGGCTTTCCTCTCTGTGCCCTTAAATGCAGAGGCATACTGTAGCTCTCTGAAATTAGAGACATGAATTTGGTAGTTAAGTTTGAGATGCCCTAATAATAAAAATGGTCTATATGCTTATATTTTGAGGAAAGGAATTTCAACTTTTCTGTCATTTTGTCATTCTGTTCCACAATATCTGTTTAATATTAAATTAATGTTTTTAGTTCTTACAAGTTTAATATCGTACATTGCGCACACGCACACACACACACACCTGTGAAAATTGATGCTCTAGGAAGATGAGCCTTGTTTACACTGTGGCTTCACATATACCTTGGCACATCTCCATGTAGCCAAGCATGGGACGCACAGCATTAAAGTTTTACTGCCATTCACTTCAAGGGGATGAAAATACAAAAGCTGTACCTAGAGATGTTCCTGAAAACTCAATACTATTGTCCTGACTTAATTTCTAATATCTTCTCCTTAAAATGGTCTCAGAAGCTTTCCTACAATTAGCTTTTCCTTTTCTCCCAGAAGGAACAAAAGAAAGGAAAAATAGTTCAGTTTTGTATGTGCTGAGTTTGAGATGCCTGGGAGCATGTAGAGTTTAGGAAAGAGTTCTTCACTGGGAAAAGCGATTTGGAAGTTCTTGGCAATGAAAACGAAGGAAATGGATGGGATGACTCAGAGTGTGTATGCAGAGGGAAAGGAGGCTGAGGTCAGACATTAGGGGACAGACAGGATACAGAATCTATGAAGGAGACTGAGAAATTGTCTCTCAGAGAGGAAGGAGAACCTGCAGAATTCATCACAGTACCCAGTACAGTGTCTTTGCATAGGAGACACTCAAAAAATAATTATCAAATGATTTAGCAAGGAAAGTGCTTCTTCATTCAAAGCTCTGTGCTAGTGTAGAGAATACAGGGATAACTCCTCAAGGGTCCATCAGGCCAGTTGGAAGGACAGATCACGAACGAGTACAACACAGTAACACAAGTAGCTAAAAGTGGCATGTACGAGGCGTACTGGAGTACCAACAAAGAAGGTCAATGAGGAACTTCTCGGAGAAAACAATGTGAGGGCTGAATCTTGAAGAATGAATAGGCATTCATCAAGCATGGGGGGAGGTCCTCTGGGAGGGCATTGCAGGCAGCAAGATCTGCAGGTAGAAGTGCACTGAATTATGAAACAGAACAGAGTGTTTGAGAAATTCCAAGTAAGTAATTTGGTACAGCTGGGATTTGGTATTTGAGGAAGAAGTGGAGGAAATGAAGCAGGAAAGCCAGGCAAAATCAAGTTACAAAGGGCCATGCAAGACATGATAAAGTGCTTGGATTTTATCCTGAAGACTAGGGGAAGCCACTGAGGACTTTTAAGTGGAGAGAAAAGGAATCAGATTTACATTTCAGAAAGGTCATTCTTGCATCTGACAGGAAGATGGGTTAGGGATCAAGACTAGAAGCAAGGAAACCAAATAGGAGGCTAGTTAAGGAATCCAGAGAGAGCTGAGGGAAGACTGGACTGGGCCAGAAGAAGGAGGGGTGGAGAGAGACTGACAGATCGGACAGGTATAGAGGAGATAGGATAAACTAGGCATCATGTGTGATAAGATGAGGTAGAGAAAGAAGCTAAGAGTCAAGCGTGATACCAAGTTTCGACTTGGGCAGTTGGATGGAGTAATTCCATTCACAGAGAATGAGGATAGCAGAGGAGAAGCAGATCTGAGATTCTGTGATGAGCTTTGTTGTAAACATATTAGAGTTAAGGAGATGTCTTAATTAACAGTTGTTCTGGAGCTCAGAGGATATATGTAAGCTAGCAATACAGATGTGAGAATCACACACAAATGAGGGAACTGAAGCAATTGAACTAGATGAGATTTTCCAGATGAAAAATATAGAGTAAGAGAAAAAGAAGGCCTAGGATGGAGCCAACATTCAAAGGTCAACTGGTAAAAGGGAAGCCCTCTGAGGAGGGTGAAAAGTGCTACAGCTGGAACACTGTAGCTGCAGTACTGTGTGTCTCAAAATCCAGGGGAAAGGGGGCCAAAAGCATCTATTTGTGGTTATCTCCCCTCAGTAGATTCTGAGTTCTTGGGGACAGACACTAGATAATCTTTGTATTCTTACAACCTGATGTTGGCCAGGCTCCAGAGTAGTGGTTCGATGAATATCTTCGGCCATTAGACTTTAAAATTAGGATGTTCACTGTTGACGTCTGATGGAGCGCTCTCTTGAGAGGAATGAAAGTAGAAACCATCAAGACAACTAGAGAAGTTTGGAGACAAGGAAAAGGGAAGATAGGGCAGAGATATGGGAGCAACTTGAGAGGAAAGCAGATTTAAAAGTGAATTTTGAAGATGAATATATTTATTTTTGCTATGATCTGAATGTTTGTATCCCCCTCATGCCAATTCATATGTTGAAATCATGATGCCCAATTTGATGGTATTGGGAGGTGGAGCCTTTGGGAGATGCCTAGGTCATGAGGGTGGAAGCCTCATGAATGAGCCTATTGTTCTTGTAAAAGAGATCGCACAGAGATCCCTCACCTCTTCCATCGTGGGAGGGCACAGTGAGAAGGCGCTGGCTGTGAACCTGGGAAAAGGTCCTCACCAGAACTTGACCATGCTGGTGCCTCAGTCTTGGACTTCCCATCCTCCAGAACTATGAGAAATAAATTTCTGTTGTTTATAAACTATCCAGTCTATGGTATTTGGTTATAACAGCCCAAATAGACTAAGACAATTTTAATAACCAGTACTTTTGCCAGACCTTATTTGTGGCGACAGACATTTAAGGGTTTGTATGGGTTTGAGGGAAAATCCTCTCATGTTAAGGACAAAAGTAATGGAGGAGAGCTTTCCCATTCCCCACAGTGGCTTTCATGGCTCCTCCACCTTATGTAAAGCCTCTTCTCTTTGGAGACTCAAGACTTTGTTGTACCACGTCCTCCTGATGTTCTTGGCCTTAGCTGCTAAGGGGTGCCCAGAGCACCTGCTGGCCCAAAGCACATGAAGTCAGTTGGCAAGCTTTCAGTTTAAGCATATCTGCCTTTATACACACATTATATCGCCCAGAGCTAGTCACAAAATGAATCATTAAATTCAGTCAGAGACCTAACACAATAGGCTGGAGCAAACAGACAAAATATCATGAATGAGAAGTCAACATGGAGCTCACAGAGATAGAAGCAAGCACAGGAAGGGCAAAACTCTGGAGGAGTTTTGTAACACTAAGGACCACTCCTCTCCCAAACCCACTTTTTATAATAGACTGGGCCATTCGTGCCAGGCTGATTGAGGGTGGAGGTGGGGGAAGACAGCTTCTGATCACTCACACATTCATTCAAGTCTTAGGCCCAGAGTCTTATCATCCCAACCTTGAATGCCCCATCTAAGACTCTGGCCCCATAGTTCTTTATTGTTCTCTCCTCCTGAAGCCCATTTATCCAGCCCACTAGGTTTGCCAGGCCTTTGAACCTTTCATGACCAGATCTACTTTTCCCCTGAAGTTTTTCCCTCTAGAATCTTACTCTTAAAACCCAGCTTCTTGCCTCTGGATGGCTCATCCCTCTGCACACATGTATCAAATTTTCAAACTCTAGAAACCCTAATCTTCTGAACTCTCTTTTCTCCCTGTGTGCATCAGGCCTTTCTTACTTTTCAACTCCGTGTGGATGTCATGATCCAACACTTCATCTGTTCTCATGGCAGCCCCTATTCAGCGCCATGTCTTTCTCTCCTATCTACCTTTTAATCACCAGATTTCTCTTCTGTGACCTTATCATAGAGAGCTCCTAGGAATAAAAATTATCACACAACCCCTGGCATTGGGATCAACAGAACTGGACCCTGAGCACAACTCAACAAGCCTGGATTGCTTGATCCTAACATCTCTGACTCCTGCAAACTTTCTCCACTTAAATTCTTTGTATCATCTATCATCTCCTATTATGAGCACTTAACCTCACCTCCTACTCTCAACAATGATAATAGCAACAAAAGGGAAGCTGTAGGCATGGTCTTCTCAATTTCCTATCCTCCTGATCCTTACCTACATCCAGGAACTAGGCATTTAGGTGAAAATCTATTTACTGAAGACAATTCACCCAATTACCAGGCTCCCAAAAGCTCAATTCACCAAATTTTCCAAAGTTATCAACTTTAAAAATTGTTGGTTTTGAGCACCAAATTCCAATTTGGCAAAGTTATCAATTCACCAAAAACTTGTTTCAAACAATAACTTCTAAAATTTATAAATTGTATTGTATGAAAAGGTTTAATACGTTTATGGATTCGTGGGGTTTTTTTAATTTTCAATTAATTTCAGTTTGACTTAGTTTAGTTTTAGTTTTACCAAAATCTTCTCATTAGATCTGTTGTATACTAGATTTCAATCAAACTATGTGATGTCACTTTTGTGTGTGAAACTCATAGAAATTTAGGAGTCAGATGCCTAAACAAGTGGATAATACTCATTTAATCAAGCTGATAAACAAATCTAGGAATTTAAAAAAGTTTAAAACAGTACTTTCTAACTCATTCTGCAAAGCACATTTTTTTTTTAGTTCACATGTGTACTGATCATTGTTTCTAAGAACAGATTAGAGCTTTAGCTTTTTAAACGTACATGTTTATTTACTTATTTATTTAATGGCAGTATTGAAGATTGAACCCAGGACCTCATGCATGCTAAGCATGCCATTTACCACTGAGCTACACCTTCCCCATTGCAAGAAAAGATCAATATCCCTTATGAATATAGATACAAATTCCCCAACAAAATACTAGACTGTATCCAACAACACAGAAAAAGATTTATATACTAGGAACAAGTGGGCTTTATCCTAGAAATACAAGGTTGGTTACCATTCTGAACTCAAGTAATGTAATATACCATATCATCTCAATAGAATAAAAAGCAAAACCACAGGATTATCTCAGTAGACACACAAAAAGCATTTGACAATACCTGACACCTTTTCATTATATAAGCACTCAATAAATTAGGAATAAAAGGAATTCTCTCAACAAATAAAGGGCATGAAAAACCCACAGCTTATATCATAGTTAATATTAAAAGACTGGACACTTTCTTTCTAAAATCAGGAACAGGACAAAGATGTCCATTCTTGCTACTTTTATTTAACATTGTTTTAAAGGTTCCACTAAGGCAGTTAGACAAGAAAAAAAAAAAGACATCTGTATGGGACAGGAAGAAGTAAA